TAGTTTAAAAATGATAAAAACTAAACATCCTTCAGTATTTTTACAGTCTTTATTTTACAGTTAAAATAAATGTTTATTAAATAAAGTGCAATGTTACAACTAATCAGGGATCCCTTTAACTTGCAGAATTAAACCTGTTTACCGGTTATCAAAAATATCTCAACATAAAACGATCTTAGTGTGAAACTGTCATGAAGTCAGCATGTGGTACACAGGGGCAGAGCCAAAAGGGTGGCTGGGGCGGCAAATGTCACCCCTGGCACCTTACTGCCAGGTGTCACCCACAAATGATTGACAAGTGGGTGGAGATCCCATGTGGCACTGTAAAGATGGGTAGTTAGAGCAAAAAAGTAGTAAACATCTGTAAAGCAGCTGTACTGTCTCGTGTAAAGCGAGTCTATCGGTGTGAAGTGTGTGAAGAAAAAAATATACCATACCAAATTTCAGCTCAGTTTCTAAAAATGGTTGAGTTGTAGTCAATTAAAAACAGCTTTGGCTGCTATCTTGGATTTTACATTTGAATTCAGATTTAAAGACTTTAGAGTTAAAAACTGTTTTGTTTCTACTACACAATTTTTCAGCTGTGTATGCCTAAAATTGCTCAATTTTAGCCCTTTGTAAAATTATCACCAGTAGTGGTTAGCTTTGTTGGGATTATCTGCATGTGCTTGATATCATTTTTAGCTACACCGCAACAAATTTCTGTACTAAGTATTAAAATGGCTAAATTGTAGCCGTTTAAAGTTAGCTGTGGTGGCCATCTTTAATTTTTGATTAGCATTTAAAATTTTGTAGAGGTTGTTTTTGACCACAACTACACTAATATTCAGCTTCGTTTGTCTAAAAGTGGCTGAATTATAGCTCTGAAAAAAAACTAGTGGTTAGCTTAAATTGGGACTAGCAATCTGCATGTTTTTTTTTATTTACATTTTTTGCTATGAACACACAATTTCAGCTCAATATTTCTTAAAACAGCTAATTTAGAGCTATCTGAAATTAGCTGTGGCAGACATCTTGAATTAGCAACATCAGAGCAATATTTACGGCTGTGTCCAAAACGGCAGGACGGGTCCTCCGAAGGCCGAATTTGTCGGCCGCATACGTCACAGCGCCGCGAC